TAAATCCTAATTTTCCAGTCAAAGCAAACAACTAAAACATATTTTATTAAACAGAAACAGTGCTAATGTTATAATTTATTATTAAAAAGGCAAATGGTGGTTTTTTTTTACTAAACATTTTTTTTCTGAATTGGAGATTGGTACGATTATCTCTTTAATAAAAATTAGTTGTATTTAGTTAGTTTTTCATTTCATCCTATTTTCTAATGCAAACTTAGGAACCTATTATTTTAATCAAATAACTCATCTCTAATAATTATTGGTTATATGTTAGTTAAATAAATCTGCTCTACGAGGAGGTGGGGGTCTTAAAGGCAGATTATTAATGTTCGGTATTATTCATGTGTTAGAATTGGAGCGTTCATATTTTTATAGTTTTTCTAATGAATTTATTTAATTTTTATAATAACTTAATAATTTAGCCTTCATAGAGAAAGTTGTAATAATGAAAGCCTTTAATAAAAAAAAGTTTTTAAAATCCGTTCAAACGATATATCAGAAAACAACTTTCGCCTCGTAAAAATATACATTTTAAAATAATGTAACACATATGCCATTTAAAATTAGTTGTCATACTTGAATGGCCCTCAAATGAATTTGCGTCTAATAGTGTAATTTTGTCGCCCTTTAATAAATGGAGCTCGGCTCTTTCTCTTGGTAAACACGGTCAATGGGTATAACAGGGCGCAACGGTCATTCTGGGCCATACCGTCTGTACAGGGTGGACTGAAACGAATGACTCGGGCAATTATTTATTATTATTATTTCTGGCCAACCTTGTGTGCTGCTACCTTAACGCCGGTGGAGCACCGGGTGTGATCGACAAAACCGCCACAGTGTGATTTATGCGTGTTAGTCTAACACAAGATACATTTATAGAAATACGGTTTCCAGGTGTCGTCTCTGCGCCACCGGTAGTTTCCAATTGGCAAAACCCAGGCAAAAACGCGATTCCCCCAAGGTATTTTTTTTTCACTTGGTTGCCCGCCGCCGATCTTAACGGGTACTCCATTCTTTAGTCGCCAAAGGAGGTAGTGTAGACGATGATACTATTGGGCGACAATTTAAGGTGTATACGGCAATGTTACACCCAATACTCACTGAACGGATGAACCGACTGACGACACGATAAAACGAATTGCAAATGAACAAAAAAAAAAATAAATAAATAAAGCTTGGCCTAACTCGCCTAGTTGGACCGTCATTGAAAGACATTACCTACGCGATAGTCATGAAAGTAATGGATTGGTTGCACTGTACTTGAGCTCAGAGGTTCACGATGAATCCAATGAACCGAGTCGACCGGTATCCACAGGAAGTTATTGGCGATTTCAGCGTGTTTCCTCGTGGGAAAAACTACATTATTATTTTTTATTTGTTATCACAGAGTCGTTGCTCTTCGGCCGAGTTCACACGACTCGTCTGCCCGCCAAATATATATCGAATACCGAATATTCGCCTATTCGTGTAAGTAGACGAATATGCCTTATGGTGTACACGTGAACACGGCTTTACGTGTGATCCGAAAACAATTTAATTAACGTCAAAAACTGTTAGCAAATAAGTATTTTTATTTGCCAATTCGAACAGTTTACAACGGTGGTTTGTATAGTACACTACACGCCGACAAGTAGCGGGCCGGTTAAAAAAACTATGTACGAAATGGAAATTTTCTCTTTATCAAAAAAAAAAAAATTAAAATCTACGTGGGTTTAACGATTTTGCCAAAAACGAAAATATTCATATCTCTCGGGTTTCGTTCTGGGAATCCGATTATTGTGTTTTTACGGATTTTATAGCGCGCTACATTTGTGGTGTACATAATATTATAGACTATGTAGTACGGTCCACGCAATAAATTCAAGTTATGTGTGTACTTAAAAAGCTTTCGACGGTGGCGTCGAACGGTTTCCGAGAAAAACAAACTAACAAACCTATTTTCAAGTTTCTTTATTTTTTAGGGGTATTGGTCGTAGGAGATGGTACCGACCGCAGTTCCAGGGCTCGGTTAATATTATCGAAAACAACAAAATGTGTGTGATATAAATTATATTATTTCAGGATGTTTTGCGTATTACTTGTGAATCTCGTATTCAACAAATAATTCCATGCTTTTTTCTTTAAAAAAAATATGTATTCTTGTTCTTTATCTTCGCCTTACACTCCCAACTACATGGTGTCGGCCACCCTAGTCCTACACCTCCATAAAGCTCGGTCTTCTACATCTCGTTTAATAACTCCCGCTACCATCATATCACTCTGTGTTCCGTCCACCCATCTTTTGTTTGGTCCAAAAAAAGTAAAAGAAATTATTCATTCTAAATATAGTAATGCTAAAAAAAAATAATTTTTGAATGGCTAATAGATCTTTATAACAATATAATTTTGTTCCGAGTATAGTTTTAGCTTCTTATATTAATCTTTATACTTTTATAATAATTGTGCTATAAAACTTGTTTCGATTTGTAAGGGTAATTGTAACTCGCTTCCATCGCCACAAGCAAATGCTTATACAAGGTAGACAATTCAAATGTATAGTGTACAACTTGTATATTTGATTTTTATAAAATAAAAAAAATTGGTGTTTGTGAACTATTGAAAGGAAAATTTATATTTTAGCTTGTTGTCGAAAATCAACCGCATTTGTTGTGTGTCTGTTGTGTGGCCTTTGTTACGGTTAAGGTCGACCGCATGAAAAAAAGGTCGTTTCGATTTTGCGCTTGTTTTTGCTCATCTCGTTAAATTGTCCGTACAAAAGATGGCGTTTATCTCGAAGGTCATGCAGGCACTTGAGTGGCATCCGCCGTGAAAGTCAAATGAGCGTGCGGACAATTTTGGCAACTCGGGACCGAAGTGCCAAACAATATCAATAGTAATAGCATTGTGAATACCATCGTCCCACAGAAATCCACGTAGAAGCTTTGTAAATGCTTGAAAACGCTAATAATTGTTACAGCCGATTAACGGCCGTCATTCGGATTCGTAATTTATTGTCATTGTGCTGGTTCACAATAATAATAACAACAAAAAATATTTGGTCACGACACAAAGTATAAATTCTTCACGCTTCTGGCTGTTTGCCTGTGACAATAATTAGTGTTTTTTTTCTCTGTGAATTTAAACAAACCTATTAACATTGCACTTATTTTGGGAGACGCCCGAAAAGTGTATAATAATATCGACGCGAATTTTTTACAAGGCCGCCCCGTGGGGACTAGCGGGTCGAATAAAACGGTCGGCGGGTGACACGACCTCGGCGTGTTGTTAAAAATCGCTTCAAAAATTCATCGAGAGGTAACAGACGTGTAAAAAAAAATATATACAAAGGTTTAGAATCTCGATGAATTGTATATTGCATCTAATAAAACCGTTACATATTGATACATCTTGTATGTATTTAAAAATAACATTAACGGATGACAATAATATAATATTATATTGGTAATTTGGATAGTAATCGATCAATTAAATACAATTGAGACGTATTGCCACTTGTATCAATTGTGTAACTTTGATACTTGGCATCAAGTTCAGTCTCAGTAGTCCCGTATCTGTCAACTGCATGCCCATAAAACAATCGGATGCTCTCCGATATTATTATTTTAATACTATAAATGATGGACCTTTTTAGAAAGCGTCGCGTCGGCTTGTAATTCATTTAATAAATGATTATTTTAAATAAAACTACTTATTGAAATAACAAATGTGTATTCAAACAAATGACTCACAATGACTGTTCAAACACAAATATTTTAAAATATTGTTATTATTTGAATAAAATATCAAATTGAATAAAATGCTATCAATAGTTTGTTTGATCTCCTCGTACACACAGACCTCTACGCAAAATTGAAATAACTATTATCGTTTTATAGTTTTAATTTCTTCTTTTCTATTGTATTATTATACACATTACACATATCTATCAAATATCAATTATATAATTGTGTGAGCTCGTTAGCTACTGGCCTTTGTTCAGTCCGGCGTAGAAACTCACAAATTAAGCATTTTATATTTTTAAAAACGTCACGGTAAGTAGTTAATTTACAACCGAACGTCGTAAAAAGAATTGACATTTTTTTGTTTGAACAATTCAGTATAGGCGTGTAGGTTGACATCCTGACCTATCGACCATATCCTCGGTTGGACTCTGTCCCAAAGATGTGCACTTATTGGATACATTACTGTGTGATAGTGTCTATAGGTAGGTAATTCTTCTCTGGCAATGTCGTTTCAGGCTTTAAAAAGAGGTGCGAAAAATTTAAACGGGTAAATTTAAAGAGTATAACCGGAAAAAATAGTAAAATTCGATTTTTCTTTACCTTAGTTCATTGAGCTTTACATATAAGTAGAATATAAGACCAATATTGAAAAACCTAGTACCCATTCAATTTAACCCAATACAGCCGCCTGTATATCTGAGATTTTTTATTGCAACTCGCCGAAAATAGAAATTTATATCATACACATATTTATGATTGCAGCACGGCTTAGATTTTTGATGCGATAGTAGGTACATTATATGTACATTTTTACAACCGCAGTGCATCAGTAAGTGTCCTCACGTTGTTTGCCAAGATACCGTGGTGCTATATAATCCGTATGTATTGGTGTAATTTAGTTTATTTTATCTGGCGACAGTAAAGCTATACCGTTAAACTCTATTTAAATTCGCCGGTGATTTCAATATGTTCTCCTTGGCGCCGATTTGTTTCAGACTCGCGAATCGATCGAGTTGTGTTGTAGTGTGACTTGGAAGCGGGATCGTTGTATAGTTGCTTTATTGTTGTATTACTCTAATTAAATCTAACCTAACCAACGCACCCCGCCTAACTTGACCTGATGTCTATAGTAGTGACATTTGTGTTACCCAAATATACTGACTTCCAGCACTCGTCTGAACGAACAGTGGTTGTGTCAGGCTATCAGACTCGATACATTTTGTTTTTTTTGTGACTTAACCAACGCCTGTATTGATATAGAGCCGATGTGTGTTACAGGTGGAACAACGGGATGTTCCGGGTATCGATTGCGCGTACTTGGCCATGGACACCGAGGAAGGGGTGGAGGTGGTGTGGAACGAGGTACAGTTCTCCGAACGCAAGAACTACAAGGCGCAGGAAGACAAGATCCGGCAGGTGTTCGAGAGCTTGACGCAACTTCAACATCCCAACATCGTCAACTTCCATCGGTATTGGACGGACACCCACAACGACAAACCCCGCGTGAGTCTCACCTTGTCCCTGAATCCACAAAAAAAAAAAAACCTCAACTCGGTCGGGCATCCCTTTACTATGGTATTGTGGGATCAAAAAATACCCCCCCCCCCCCGATACAAATGTTAGTTAGTTAACTCGGCTAGTCAAAGGAAGACAAACCATATTGTAGTAGTGTATTTTCTATAAATATGAATTTTCGCCTTGTCTTTGCGATTTTAGTTCCAAGTGCAGGGCCTTGGGATGTATTTATTTGGCCCGTTTATTTTATATCGCATACTTACGGTTATTATGTTCAACCCAAAAACAGAACACTAAAAATCTGTTTCACTTTTGACTAATGGCTTGTCAACGAACTATGGGCGATAACGTTTTTGTGATGAATCCGATTTTCAGGTCATTTTCATCACAGAGTACATGTCTTCTGGCTCGCTGAAACAGTTCCTAAAACGCACCAAACGCAACGTGAAGAAAATCTCGTTGACCGCTTGGAAACGGTGGTGCACGCAGATCCTATCTGCCCTAAGGTATGTTGAAATCGCTAGGATGGCTCCGATCCTGTTGGTATTAGGATCATCAGACGTACTATATCATTGATTTATTTTGTTTATTACATATTAATATTATCATGTCGTTATGTACCGTGTTTATTATTATTGTGCAATGTTAGCGTTTATAATAATTATAGAGAAAAAAAAAAAAAAGAGTTTAGGAGGTACGCTAATTATTATTATTATTATTATACTAATTTAATAATACTACATTCGAATGGAAAATATTAATTATTTTGTATATTATATATGTGTAATAATACATTATCACGATGACGACGATGAATGTAATTAATGCGAACGTGGTAATTGTTACACAACATACACCGCTACCAATAATACTGCTACTTCAACCACGTGGAGGCGATGGAATTTTGCAAAATATATACATATTAGAACGAGATTTGTGTGCAATTGGCGAAGACTGTGATGATTTTGGCGGAACACGTTTTGACGATCGGATAGCGTTGAACAATCCAAACGGCGGACACTATTACACACACACTCACACACACACACACACACCACGTATTACCTGTAAATGTAATTGTATTTTTTCAGAAACAATAATTCTATGTATAGTTATGCACTACACGTACATGTACATATGCGAAAAAGACAGGAACGCGCCCCCTCGATAAAACTCTACCACTTACGGGTACTGGGCTCGTTTTGTTTAACTACCGCCACGTCCAAGGGATTCGCACGACAACAACCGTATACCATATGTTATAACATAATGATAATTGTATACACCATCGTACATCGCCGCAACAACGGCGCTTATTGTTGACAACATTATCATGTCTTTTTTTTTTTGGGTTTTGTTTGTTTTTTCGTTGTGTTTATAAATGTATTGCAATTCTCCGTGTATATTTTATACTATTACGTTGTTTTGTACTATACTTGTGTTGTGTACGAAATTACTGACTATAAAAATATATACATATTGTATATAGTTTAGCCGGTGGACGACCGCGCATAGTGCCGGGGACCGGGAAATGGTATAACCGGCAACCGGTACACAGTATTATGTAAAATAATATGGATGTGGGTTAAAATGTGCTTTTCGTAATATTAAATATATATATATATATACATTTTTTTTTTCGTCGTGTAGAGGTATATAACACGTCAAAAAAAAAAAAAAAACCCACAATTTAACACGAAAACGAAAATGAAAAAAAAAAACGCTATCCGGCTTTGACCGGCCACCACCGCCGGCCGTCGTCGAAAAGCAACAAAAGTTATGGTTTGTTTTTCAGTTACTTGCATTCATGTTCACCGCCCATCATCCATGGGAATCTGACCTGTGACACGATATTTATCCAACACAATGGACTCGTGAAAATAGGATCAGGTAAAGTACCGCGAACGTGCGTAAAAAAAAAAAAAAAAAAACATGCTATGTAAGGGAACATTAATTGAAAAAACAATTATATATATATATTATTAATATACAATACGATCGTATAATAATATACATTAGTATAAACAATATAATATCATGGAAGGTGATGATATTTTGGTATGACACGACGGAAACGTCAATTAAAAAATAGACAAATTTTTTTTTGTTTTTTAACAAATTTATATATAATATTGTTATTTTCAGTGCCGAGGTATCGACACGCGTCCCGCACGGCCGTTTGTCCAAGGCTGACCGTTCTAGACAATGACGATTGTAGGGACCGTCCCCATTAGTTCTGTGTAGGATTGTAAACGCGTTCGCGATGTGCACTATGTGTGTTCGGCGTTAAGGACCGCGTGGGTTGTCCAGGGCCGGTCGGCCGGGTCGAACGGGCGCGTGCGGTTCGGTCGAACCGAGGGCACGGCCACCACTGCAGAGGTGTACTAATAGAAATTTTTTTTGTTTATTAAAAAAAAAAAAATACGATACTCTAGTGGCACCGGACACCATACACGTTCACATCAAGACCTGCCGGGAAAACATGAAAAACATGCATTTCATCGCACCCGAATGCGGAAGTGAGTATATATGATAAAATATATATATATATTATACCGTAATCGAATAGCTTTTTTGGCGTGGTTCCCAATCGAGACGTCTCAACCGTATGCCACCCTTAAAAAGGTTTTCTCGTTTGACTTTGTAAACCGTGGCCGCCAATCCATTAACACTGCCGTTTTCGGATCCGCGGCAAACAATCTCCTCGCGTGTATACCCGGCCCCGTGTCTGTCTTTCCCGTAAAAAGTGAAAGGGGATCCGGTGGATTTTTATTATCGATATTAATTTTGTTATTATTTTGCACTAAGCAAACGTAAATCTCTTGCGGTTACAAGGAAGGGGCAGTCGTCCGGTGTTTTCCGTAACGTCTATAATCTTGTGTTTTGCTAAACGCGACAATCGTTTTCAGACTCTGTCACGCCGGCCATCGACATCTACGCGTTCGGCATGTGCGCGCTGGAAATGGCCTCGCTGGAAATACAGGGCAACGGCGACAGCGGTACGCTGGTCACGCAGGACCACATCAACCGCACCGTCGAGTCGCTGGACGACCCGCTGCAGAAAGACCTGATCTATCAGTGTCTGACGGCCGATTTCCAAAACAGACCGTCGGCCAGGAACCTGCTCTTTCACCCGGTGCTGTTCGAGGTGCACGCGTTAAAATTGCTCGCGGCCCACGCTCTAGTTAAGACTGGTGAGCAGCGACCGTGTGTGTGTGTGTGTGTGTGTGTGCGCCGGGTTAGGTTGTGTAAAAACCGCCGCGTTTGTCTTGTGTTTTACAGAACATTTCGCCGACCGGCTGTCCGACGAGGTGTACCCCCCCGACACCGTGATGGCCGAAATCGCGCACGAAAACGACCCCGGCCGGGCCGCACACGTGAAAATGGGCGACGTGCCCGACAGCAACAAACTGGAAAAGTTCGTCGAGGACGTCAGGCGAGTTCGGCGGTGGCCGTTGTAAACATAATATTGTCTGTCGTCTGACTGGGATATCGTTTTTTTTTGTTTTTTTTTTGCGCCCCCTCTAGGTTTGGCATATACCCGTTGACGGCGTACGCGTTGGAAGCCGGGCCCGTGCGGTTGACCAACTATCAACCGCAAAGCCCGACCGGTTCAATGGACCAGTCGATCCAGTCGGACAGGATCAGCGTTGGGCCGTTAGACGTGGAAGTCAGGCGCGTCGTCAACATGATGTGCAACATCAAACCCAGGGACGACGCACAAAATGACTTTACGGTCAGTACTCGCCCGAGGGAATATGTTCTCTGTCCTGGACAATCGTCCAAAAATTATTGTGTACACAAAAAATGTCCTTCCCGGTTTCGGAGCTAAAACAACCGGGAGCGTACACTCGGTCCTACCGTCGTCCTATACGTAAACAACGTGTTTACGTGATTTCGCACAAAAAATTTGAGTTAGTCTTGTCACCGAGCCGTGATTGATAATATTAATTATTATATAACTTCGGTCATTATTATTGTTTGTTTATCTCTACTAAACGTGTTTTCAGAAGTAAAATAAGTTGAACAATTATTATTTTACTCAATCGTATTCATTTGTGTTCTTATCGTTTTAACAGATAAACATGTTCGCCAGTGCACAATTAGTATATGCATTGAAGAATTGGGGGGGGATATTAAAATCGATTTAGAAGTGTTAGATTTAACATTTTTTTACTTGGGAGGTGTTCAAATTGTTGTTAAACGATTGGTAAAACTAGACGCTTGAGTTAACTTTTATATTTATCGTTGTATGGTGTAAATATTATATTTTTAGTAGTATTTAATTTTGCATCGTTTTTGTGTATAGAATATTTTAATGGTTTAACAAAAAAAAATAAAGTAAAAACCGCGTTTTTTTTCCTACAGATGACGATTTTGCTACGAATGGATGATAAGATGAATCGACAACTGACGTGTTCCATCACAGACGCGGACACGGCTTCGTCTCTTTCGCAGGAACTCGTTCATTTTGGCTTTATAAATGAAGTAATATGAAACGAAAATTCATCTCGGCAGTAGAAAGAAAGGGGGTTTTGTTTGCAATTTTTTAATTTTTCTCGTATTGCCATCCTTGTAGGCCGACAAGGATAAAATCTACGTGATCATCGAAGAGACGCTCGCCGAGGGACCGCAATACAAACGGGAACAGTCAGCCGAACCGACGATTCTCGCCAACAATCCGCCCAAACTGCAAAAGCAATCCGCCGCGAACGCCGTCGGCTGTGCCTCGACGGTTGCGTCTTCGCTCAGGCCTAGCGTCATTCGTTCTCCCGTCAAACGAGACGGCAGTTAATAATAGCTATGTGGCCAACACCACAACGTTGGCCACTCGGTTTCGTTTGTTTCGTGTTGCCTAACAGCTAAAACGTTTACAGATTCGTCGTTTATAATTCGTTTCTTCCGCGTTAATGTATAACGATTAATAATCAACAAAACTAATTCCCCTCCTTTCGCGGCCATTGTTAATTTGATCGTGTCATCGTCGTGCCGTACGCGTGTCTGCGTACGGCAAAGCCGAATCAAACGCTACCATCCAAAATATATATATATATATACCGGAATATATGTTTAGTTTATATAATAAGCTTTTTTTTTTTTTTTTTACCGAATTAGTTACACGTGATTAAAGCAAAGTAAAAGAGTAAAAACCTCGTATGTTATCGTCGTTGGAGGTACAGCTTCAACAGCCCCATCTACTTTTTATTGTTGTTTAAAAAACGCAGTCATTCCATGAGAAACTTTTTTTTTTATTAAATTCACTCAATGTGTTTTATAATAATTATTCTATTCTATTATTATTATTATTATTATTATTATTTTATTATTATTATTATCATTATAATTATTATAATTATTAAATTTTTTTTTGTGCTTTTGTGCTTTTGCGCCAAGGGCGTTTCGATATTTGATTTTGTTCACAATCGTCGTTTAAAAAATACTTAGTTGTTTTTTTCTCCTTAAAGTTCTTATGTTCAGTTACCCCCAAAATAGTATCGTCCAAAAAAATTACAAAACCATTGTTTGTTTAATAGGTCATAATTGACCTGCATATAATTTCTATTCTATATATGTACAATTAACTCGTTATATACCGATTTAAAGCGCTGGCCTAACAACGGCACGTGGATGAGTTTAAAATGTGATATGTTTTTAATTTGAGAAGAAAAAAAAAACAGAAATAACATTATAGTTATAAGCTTTATTATATCCTACGAATGATTTTTGAAAACTGATAAATATTATGTGTAAATTATTAATGATGAATTAAAAACTGTGATACTTACAAACTATAAAGTTCTATTTTTTTACTCTTTACTTTTAAAACGTTTTGATTTTTTTTAACAGCATAAGTATATAAAAAAATCAATCAAGTGAGGCTGTGGCATGTTTTAAATTGTCTTCTGACCGTTTAATGCAAAAACAAATTTCCCTTATTGGTCGGACCATGTTTTATTTTAAGCATAATGCTGGTAACAGTTTTGTACATTGTTGTTTCCAAACTTCGACTGAACAACACTTATTTTGTATCTATTTTTAAAAGTTAACTTATGGAAGTGTTTTGGAAATAATGTCATATCCTTTTTTTCATAAACCTAATATTTAACTTTTAAAGTCGTATTTTTTTTACTTTTTAAAATAGCTAACATTTTTTTACGTTATTCTTTTCAAAATCTTATACGACATTGTCTCTGATTATGTTGTTATCTTTCGATTTTATAATGGGCGTTTTTGCTCTAACATCACTATGGACTGAGTAAAACGCATTCTGCTTAGCTGTGTTTAGATGGACTTTTTTTTAAATCGTTGTCAATGGTAGTCCGAAAAATAAATTAACTACTAAACAAAGATTCCTGATTACTGAACTAATAATTACACGTCACAATTAGATATTTAAATTAAGGTTTTTCAAAAAATTGCCTATACCTAACTCCTTAATAGTCACGTCCTCTTAAAGTTACCAACAACTAGTCTCTGTAGTGTCTTCGTAGAGCCGCCTCTACACAAGCATTTATTAAGCCACAATATACAGGCAATTTTTCATTAAATTTTGCCATTAACCAAAAATGTGTAGATTTTCCCAAGAAAGAGGGATCTATTATTATATTTCATTTTTTATTTCAACTTTTATAACGCACGCTGGCCCTGTTTTTGTAGAAAACGTATGTTTTTATAAATACTCTGATTTAAGGTTTAAAAAAAACATACATTGGATTTTTCATCATATTTAAAAACTATTGTCGAATTAAAATGGAAGCTTAAAACTAAAGCCAGTGTTTTTCGACAAAAAATACACAGGTGTAGATTCTCCTTAAAGCTATAGTTAACATATTTTATAAACATGCACTAACACAGCATAAAGTCAAATCCGACCATTACACAACGGATTTGTTTTTTTTTTTTGATAAAAATATTATATCAGACTAAATGTGTACGTTTTGAAGAAGAGTGTTATTGTAAAAGTACATTAAAAAAAACTAATTTCAGACAATACCAGCGCAGTATAACCCATCACAGTATAAAATATCAACTACAGTTTTTTACAACCTTTAATTAAACAAAGAAATACACAAACAACTTGAAATATGTGCCGTGAATGTTTTTATTTATTATAATTTTTTCCCCTAACGACGATATATGTGGAGGTAATATGTTGATATAAATTATAGTAAAACTATAAAAATTTTAAATCGATTTTTAAACCTTTGAATTTTTTAGGAAAAAACCATGAATTTTTGCTCCATAATTCCAATGTTTTATGATTAACTATACTCATAAAACATATCCCATGCGGGATTTAGTAATCCCATATGGGAGAAACCGCAAGATATGTTAGTGGTCGATTAGTTGTTTTCAGATTTAAAGACTTCAAAAGCCAAAAACATTTATACTATGCCCTAAACCCAAAACGAATGATTTGATCCCTTAAATATATGTAGTATTTTTTTTTAAAAGATAAATCAACGCATATTCCGTAAAATTATAAAAAAGTTATTAGGTAAAGGTAATATTACCTATTGACTTGGTGGTGGGTTGAGTAGCTCTAGTATATTTGAGATGGTGGCATGGTACGTCCCCAAGGCACTGTAAATATACATTTTCAAATTAAGTTTCAATAAATCAACAGTGTCATGTACAATATACGACAAGTTATCTAATCGACGCTGTTGCTTACTTATGAGGCACGTGTTGGCCAAATACTATTTGCTGCTCGTTGCTAGACGAACTGCACGTCAAGCTGATTGCGTTGTCGTTGTCTCGGTCCAACAAAAATATGTTTTCGGCGTTTCGAGTCAATTGTCTGATCTGACGACAGGGCTGTGCGTATATCTTGTCATTGTTAATGGACGCGACGAAGAATAAGACCGAAGACACGTGCGAGCAAATCGTCGGTTCCTCCATGGCGGACGGCATACCCAAGAAGCCTGTAACTGTGTTGACCGAAAAATGTGTTAGACAACCACAGTGGGCTAAAAGTCTCATTATATGTGTTATTAGTATATTAATCATTTTTTGAAAATAAAATAAACAATAGTTGCACTTTTATTATTGTATATGAGTGGTATCGCGGTTATATTTTACCACAGTAGGTGTGTTAGAAGAATAGCATTTCCGGACATCACATACCGCATCGGATGCATTTTATCAGACGGCGCGTGCATCATTGTCTATTAATCGAAATCGCGTCAAGATATGCGAGCTCGGCGCTTTAGTTTTTAAAAAATCTGAAGCGAAAATCTAAATATTTTCCCTTGAAACAGACCCCCGAGAGATGAATTTTCACGTACGGCTACAATTAGTGGTTCTTACCGGCGTCGGCGTTGGTCAGGCAAATGGGCTGTACGATGCCGTTGTTCAAGTACACGTCGACGTGTCCCACCGGCGCCACGAGGCCGAACCAACCGGCGTTGGTGTGTATCGCGTCCACGAAAATGGCACTGTCTCTGCTGATTTCCGGGGACTGCTCGAAACAAGTGCCGGCAGCGTCCAAAGCTGATGGCGACGGAGGGTAAAAAATGATTAATTGTGTGGCGATAGGCCTCGTTTTTACATACCGGTGACTCTGTTCAACGTGCGGCCGGTGATTTCTTTGTACCGCCTCCCGGTTTTGCCGGCTATCTGGGCGCCCAGACTGAGCCCGACCAAATGCGTGTGGCTGATTCGCGCGACGACTTCTTGTATGAGCGATATCATCTCCGCGAGTCTGTCGGCGATTCTCGGCAAATAACAGTACCTGGACCGCGGAAAAGACGAGGCGAAGTCGTACAGAGTGAAGCCCCTCGCCATCGACATGCCCGAATAGTCCACCAGAACAACGTTGAGGTCCTCTGTCCCGTTTAAGTAGGCTGTAACCGTGAACCGACGTGTAAAAATGTACTTACCGACAGTGTGTGTGTGTGTGTGTGTTGCCGACTTAGAATTATATTGTCTAACCGTCTCGAACAATCTTAGGGCCTGCCACGTCCACGGACTCGGCGAAACCGTGTAAATACAAAACGAGTTTGTTGGAATCGGCAAATGGCGCTGCGTTTATCGAATCTTTGTCCACGGTTAACTCGGCCGAAGACTTTCTAGAACGTTGTTTAGCGTTTAACGACGATTACAGCCAACAGTTTACCAAATCGTACGCGAATCATAAGCGTAGTGTACAATTCGTTATTATAAATTAAGTCGTTCCAAAATTCGGAACAGTTTCTCTCACTTTGTGTACAAGTAGAACTTGATACTGTTTTGGTCCGAGGGCAAAGATTCGCAAATCGCACCGCTATCCGTGTTCAAAGGGTTCGGTTTGGAACTTCTCAGCAACGTCAAAACAATTAAAACGATACTCAACATTGTATAATTCATCTTTGCCGTTATAGTGTAGTAAGCCCACGACGGAAAAGAAGCAACTATGAAACGCTCTTCCGTTAACGCGTGAAGACTGAAGTTCTCGAGTGTCGACACTCATCGACTTAGGTTAGTGGACCGTATTAAGTACTTGTGTAATTATTCATTTTCGTTGGCAATTTGCATAGTATTTTTAGCAGTTCGTGATTATTAACGCTATATTATTTTTGCAACCTTGTTGGTTTTATTTAAATTATAGAATAATTTAAATAATTTTTTTTAAGAACAACTTAACTCGTGACATGTTTATTAATTATTATTCGAAATTTACTCAACGTACATAATAGATTATTGTAATGAAGGCATGTAGCACATGCCTGTCATTCACGTGTATAATGAGACCGATTAGGATAGTCCGATTTCAATTCTGTAAAGATATACGACGAGTTTTTTGGCAACTTTACTAGGTTACAGCGAAAAAATATTTTTGATTTTTTGCTTTTTTTAAGGAAAAAAATTGGGTTTTAATAATGAAAAAAAATTGCAAATTTAATTGATTTAATTATAAAAAACTGAAATTTTTAAATGGAAAGTGGCTTAAAAATTAAATTAAATTAAATTAAAAATAATACCTTAAAGCTTATACAAATTAATCGGTAAATTAATTGATATAGTCGAAATGTATTAAAATCTCTTTTTTCTTAACTATGTGCTCGGTGAAGATGAGACATCAGGCGTAGGTGTCGTAGTGCTCGGTGAAGGTGTTACATCAGGCGTAGGTGTCATGGTGCTCGGTGAAGATGATATATCAGTCGTAGGTGTCATAGTGCTCGAAGAAGTTGTTACATCAGGCGTAGGTGTCATAGTGCTCGAAGAAGTTGTTACATCAGGCGTAGGTGTCATAGTGCTCGGTGAAGGTGATATATCAGTCGTAGGTGTCATAGTGCTCGAAGAAGTTGTTACATCAGGCGTAGGTGTCATAGTGCTCGAAGAAGTTGTTACATCAGGCGTAGGTGTCATAGTGCTCGGTGAAGGTGATATATCAGTCGTAGGTGTCATAGTGCTCGAAGAAGTTGTTACATCAGGCGTAGGTGTCATAGTGCTCGAAGAAGTTGTTACATCAGGCGTAGGTGTCATAGTGCTCGGTGAAGGTGATATTTCAGTCGTAGGTGTCATAGTGCTCGAAGAAGTTGTTACATCAGGCGTAGGTGTCATGGTGCTCGGTGGCGATGCTGTTGTTGTTGGAGATGATGGTGTAGGTATTGGCGGAATTGGTGGAATAGGTGGAATTGGTGGAATCGGAGGAAATGGTGGAATTGACGGAAATGGAGGAAATGGTGGAAATGGAGGAATTGGCGGATTGGCGGATTGGTGGAATTGGTGGAATTAGTGCTGGAGATGGTGGTAATGGTTGCATAAAATATGATATCGGCAACGGCAGCATTGGATATGAAGGCGGTGGCGGAGGTCGCGAAACTATGTTGTTTATCAACCCCAAAATGTTCACTAAAATACTCAAACTGATAATAAAGTTCATTGTAATTTGCGTCAAGTATATATCAAGTAGTTACACCAAAAGACGAACGAAAAGTCACTGTTCGGAACGAATGGAGTCAAAGCCAAGTCTTCTGTGTTATATATAGGATTCGAAAAGTACTTGATGATCAGTTATCAAATATTCTAAATAGCTTTATTTTAAAAACAGACTCGACATTCCGATTGAAACCGCCTGTTTTTAATCGTCGATAGAATTATTATTTTATTTGTTGCTGAAAAATGATTTACGATACGCATGATAAAGAGTGTCGTATAATGGTGTCATTGAATTTGTGATATATTGACAAAATAGTATTATGATTTATATAGATACCATTTAGATGAAGTCTAATAAATATAAGACATCTTAAATTTAGTTTATAAAACGAACTAATTAAATTCAGGCATAATGTGTCGCAGTTCTTTTTATTTTCGGCAATCCTAGTTACCTATTAAAATGTGAATTTAAATTTAAAAGCAAACGACTATTTTATATTTTTTTAAATACGATAAATAAATAAATGGGACAAATGAGCTTGCAGTATTTTTTTTATAGAAACAACCAGGCAACTCTATAATTTATTTATTTAATTTTCTAAATAATAATAACATTATAAATTTCTAATTTTTTTCAATTATAATTACAAATTAGTGTTGATTATTATTATTTAAAAAAAAACTTTCACAGCATCAAAATATTTGTCAACTCATTTAATATGTATTCATGTACCTACTAATAAATAATTGTTTTAATATTTACTGTTTAAGTTCTATAGTTCTGTAAGTATTTTGGTTACACTAGTCATTCGCATTTCATGTAAGTAATAAAACTAAAAATCATAATTCCTAAAGAAATTAAACTAGTATTTAAAATATGTAAAAAAATACGAATAACTAAAAGTTGAACAATTATTTGTAATAAAATTATACAAATGAAAAATTATTAAAATAGCTTTGCACATTACAATTTTTCACATGCCCAGATATCAATACCCTGTAAATGTTATGATGAATTCAAATGTTTTTTTCAAAATTTGTATTGACATATTTCCAGGAACGGTCTTTTCGAAGTAGAAACATAAGGGTTAACGCACACCTAAAGAGCAAAACTGCATTAAACAGTGTTAGTCAGCCTAATACAGTGTTGCTAAAATTAGAATAACCGAGATTAAATAGTGTACGCATATTAATAACACAAAAACATTTTTGCTGTAGTTTGTGAACAACACCGGTCACGACTAATACTGTCTGAAGTGTTTGCATTTTTCTTTAGTCATTGTTGACAACGAATATTTTTTTGAGTTTTATAATAGTTTTTAGTATTTGTAAATATTATATTGTAAAGTGTATTTACTTATTCCTAATGCAAAAATAAAACGTGTATGCGTTATAAAAATTGAAAATTGTTTTTTATATATTAGGTAGCTTCCTCTTTTCTGTGTTAATAAGTTTACAGATTCTAATGGAATGTTAAGTTACGGTGAAGCATTCTTGTGCGTTTTAATAAATGCTAGCGTAGTGACCCTTAAGGTATTTGAAGAAAACTTTCTAAAAATGTACATGTTTTTCAATTTTAAACACATTTCTGACCCTACTCGGTTAGATTTTTCTATTTTACCATACAATATGATACTTTTCTGTTTAAGAAAACCAACCCGAATTCAGCAAAACAAGTCTTTATTTTCATTTCCAGTAATATATTTCAACTTTTTCTGAACTATGAAGTTAAAATCAATATACTCTAAAATCTAAAAGCGCTGTTTTACACTATGCATTTAGTGAATACAATAATGTCTACGTTTTTATCATCTTCCATAAAAAAAATAAACGCAAAAATCTTAATTATTCTCTATTTATACATTTTTACTCTGAACTTGATATATTCTACGAAAATGATTGTTTTATTTTACATCATTGCCACTAGTAATTTGTGTCGGGTGAAAAGAATGCAATTTGCTGCAAGTTGTTACTACAACAATATTAGTCCATCGAGTCATTGACATAACTTTAAGTGCCAACCTCAGTACTTTTTTTTATAATCCCGTAAATAGCACTACTGAAAAGTGAAAAGATATGATTTTTAAGTAATAGATTTAGTTTTTAAATAAACAATAGTACCTACTTGACGATATTTATACAGTACTTTTTGTCATTCCAATTAATAATTTCAATATATAGGAGTGTAAATATCACCATTTTATTATTTTAAAAAATTATTATTAAATCAACATTGACAATATGAGTGTTTTATTATTGTTTAAATTTCAATACAGTTACAAGTGTTATTAGACATTGTGATATAATGTCTATAAAGTGTAAAATGGTTATTTAACGATATCCCAAATAATTTACCGGTCCTGTCTTGTTCTTTCTTGTTATCATTTTGTGTATTATTGTGAGTGTTATTTTGTACGTTCTCAATCTGAGACCGTAATATTTTTAATGAAAATCGAACACATTATGCTTTATGCTAATACAATTATATTATACTATTTATCGTTACACGTGGGAAGCATTATACGGCAAAAAATATACTAATAAACATTTGTTGAGTCTCAAGTGAGGTCGGTGTCGAAATAACTCTCAGAAAAAAGCGTCGATGCGAATCGGTAGCTGGTAGAAATATTAAATATCGATAAAAGTCGTTGTATAGTCAATGACTATTGCATAAGGAATGTGCTTAAAATCGTGTATATAGCTATTAGCCATTAGTGTACATTTATAAGGGACTTGACTTCTACACACTAAGACTTGTGCAGTGCGGACTTTATCCACGGATACCGTATTGCCTAGCTGCAGTCGAACACCTATAAATGCAATCAAGCAAGCGATTCCGTCCACTAACTCTCGCTATAATTTGTTTACTGCGTAATACTTACTTTTTTTTAGATAACACTCCCACAAATCCTGAAAGGACTTGGCTATTAATAAAAAATAGTAGGTGATTTTACAACATAAAAATGCAAAACATCGAAGCTAAAACTAAATACCGTATAAACCAGCACAGAAACAATAATATTCTCGATATATCACCAATGACTTAACCGTTATACGACACTCTTAACCGTGTATGATTAACGAATTTTATATTGGCAAAAAAAAAATTATAATCCTATCAACGATTACAAACGGCGGCTTTGATCGAAAAGGCGTGGTTGTTTTTTTATATAAAACGATTTAGATTATTTGATAACTGATCAGCGAGTACTTTCCGAACCTATATATATAATACAGAAGACTTTGGATTTTACTCCATTAGTTTTGAACAGTGACTTTTTGTCCGTATTTTGGTGTAACTACTTTGATGTATACTTTATGCAAATTACAATGAATTTCATCATCAGTTTGAGTGTTTTAGTGAACATTTTGGCGTTGTTAAACAACACAGTTTCACGATCTCCGACTCCACCGTTATATCCAATGCTACCGCCGCTGATATCATATTTTATGCAACCATTACTACCAAATCATATGCCACCATCTCCACCTCATTCTATGCGACGTCCTCTACCAAGACCTACACTACCATTTCCACGAAAGACTACACCATCCACTCCGCCATCACCTAGACCATCATCTCCACGATATTCAACAACAACTTCTCCTTCGAGTACCATCTATCATACACCATCATCTCCATCATCACCTAGACCATCATCTCCACGATATTCAACAACACGGTTTCCATCAAGTACCATATATCATACACCATCATCTCCATCATCACCTAGACCATCATCTCCACATTATTCAACAACAACAACATCTCCATCAAGCACCAACAATTCCATCATCTCCATCAAGCACCATCATACACCTGAAGAATACAAGGTATAATCATAGCAAGTTAATTTTTTTATGATTTTTTATGTAGTTTAGTATTTATTATTAACGTTTGGGCAATGTAGTACCAACACAAAATTGTAATGCTTAACCAGTTTAAGATAATATTAAAAAATTAAAACTGTTTAGCCTTTGATTTTTTCACATGATAAATAAAAATAATACGTATGTAGTTATGTAGTATTTCAATAATAGTTGTTAAAATGTATTATTAATCATTTATTACTACGACAAAATAACAGTTATTAACATTGTATTTATTTTTAACATTATACACATAACAATAAATCTAATCATAATTTAATTTAGTATTAATAAAACTGTTTTAACTAAATGTACCTAATATAAATTAATAACAATCCGCATTATTTTTATTTTTTTCAAATATTAATAAGTTCGAAATACTTTTGATCTGATGATTGGCAAAATGTTTTCAACACCATCGAGTCTTTATATTACCCTGTGGTTATTGAACAAAGTTCTGATAAAAAAAATGTTTTATGTCATTAGTCCTTACCAATACAAATTATCAATTATAATCAATGAAATTACTTGAATATAATGAATAAGGTAGTAGAAATTCTCCAGGTTCACATTGCGCCTTTTTTTTTATGTTTTTAATGTCGAGTTTTTTTAAAACACATTAGGTTTTTTTTTTTAAATGACTTATTAGAAATGTACATCATTTACGCCACTATTCAATTTATTGCTTAGTATAACTTTGTTAAAAAATCAAAATACAATATTATAGATAAAGCGCATGTTAATTGATAGTGACAATATTTTGTACTATGTAGGTATGGATTAATTTTTGGAAAATATTAGTAAAAGATAAAAATTAAAATTAAATGCATTTGGTAATGGCTCATAATTTTAATTTGTTGATTCATGTGATGTTACATAAAATGACCCAATAGTGTTATTATTTCATGTCGTTATTGTTATTTATGTTAATATTTCACAACATTCAATGACTAATTGTTATACGACACTCTTGATCGTGTGTGTATTTAACGAATTTTATAGCAACAAATAAAATACCTATCTTCTCGACGATTACAAACGGTGATTTTACAAGAAATGGCCTGTCTGTTTTTGATATAAAACGATTTAGATTATTTGATAACTGATCAGCAAGTACTTTCCGAATCGTATATATAATACAGAAGACTTGGCTTCGACTCCATACGTTTCAAACAGTGGCTTTTTGTCCGTATTTTGGTGTAACTACTTTGATATATACTTGATGTAATTTACGATGAATTTCATAATCAGTTTGTGTGTTTTAGTTAACATTTTGGTGTTGATAAACAACACGGTTTCACAACTTCCGTCACCGACTTATCCAATGCTGCCGACGCCAATATCGTATTTTATGCAAACATTACCACCAAATTCTAAGTCACGACCTCCACGATCGCCACCAACACCACCATCTTCACCACCAATTCCACCACCATCTCCATCATCGCCTATACCTTCAACTCTTCGATATTCGACAACAGTGGCGGCTCGTGGATATGTGCATGGCCGCACCCCCTACGGAAATAACGAAATATTAGACATAGTATAATTGATTTGATATTTTATGTTAAGGTTAGGTTAGATTAGGTTTATATAGTTTATTATAGAAGTTAATTATTAACATTTTTAGGAAGTAAGGTAAGAAATTGCAGGTAAAACATTTAGCAAGTCCGTTCATTTTTTTTTTTTTTTAATTTCTATGTAGTTTAGTATTAACGTTAAGACAAGTTAATTACCAGTTTAAGATAATATTTAAAAACTAAAACTGTTTATACTTGGATTTTTTCAAAAGATAAATTAATATAATACATAAATCAACACTAGTAAAGATAATAAAATTCTTTTGGTAAACATGTAGTATTTAAATTTTAATTGTTAAAATAAATTATCAATCATTTTTTACATTGACAAAACAAAATTATAATTATTTTTAACATTTAATACGTAACAATAAATTATATTATACTTTAATTAAGTTTTAATAAATCTGCTTTAACTAAATATACCTAATATAAATCAATAAATATCCGCATTATTTTTATTTTTTAATATTTAATATTTAATTATCTCGTTATACTTTTGATTTGATAATTGGCCAAACATTTTTAGCACCATCAAGTCTTTATATTTCCCTTTGGATATTGGAATAAGTTCTGATAAATAAATGTTGTCATGCACTTCCCCATTAGAATTTTAAATAGTTAATGAAATTACAAGAATATAATGGACTAGGTAGTACAAATTCTATTATAAGATAGTTGTTATATTTAATATTTATGCTATATTTAAGTGATATCATTAAATATTACTCTAATCAGTGATTAAATTGAAGGAAGTCGCGAAGGGTGACCTCTAATATTTTTTATTTTTATTTTAAATACTGATTACCACCCCTCCTGATAATTATCCTGTATAAATTAATAACTACCATATTATAATAACAAGATATTTAAGTTTTTTTTTTTAATTTTTCAAATCTTTTCATAAAACTATTGAATTTTTTTTGGTACATTTTACGGTTATACGTTTTTTGAAAAATCAAATGCAACAATAGATATTTTGTTGTATATGAAGCATTTTATTTTCTATCATAAAAAAACAAATAAAATTCGTCGTACGACATACACCAACCGATTGTCATAGAATGCAAAAATAATTTTTAAAAAAACTAGGTATAAATAATACTAAAAACAACAGAAAACGCGCTTATAATATATTCGATTGTAATAATATTATTTGATTTACATAAATAAACAAGTTTTGAAAAAATCGATAAACGTTTTGAATGTAGTCGTTGATAATAGCTTATCTGACATAAAAAAAATAGGTTTAAATAATAAATCTGTATTAACAGCTAAATTAAAAGTACTATTAACCTAATATGTTAATATATAATAAACAATGTATTATATAATTGCATGTTATGTAATGTTTATACACAATGTTATTGTGAAATGGTATAGAAAATACAAATAACAATAAAATACATTTAAATTAAAATACGTTTTAAGTATTCAAAAACTTATAGTCTTATCAAAGGTTTATGTTTTTACACTGAAATATGTTCGTAGTTGTTTGTTATGGCGCATATACCAATTAAGAACTGTCGAACAAATTAAGATCATAGTTCGATAAAATCTCAATTGGTAGAAAAACCATAACTGGCATAAACTTTGTCGATATTATAACAGTCGAGAGGATCAGTTTCAATATTTGTTCAAACCCTATAAGAACACTCATCATTGTGTATACATTGTTGTTATCTTACATTAAAAAAATACATCTCTACTACTATATTAATTTAAAAAAATTATCTTGCTGATAATAAAACTTAAATTGAGAACTAAATATGAGATTGGCTATTTTAGACTCGCAGTACAGCTATAATTGTTGTTCCGGTAGTTCCATCATCGACATTATTACCAATACAGATGATCAGCCAAATATTTTGCGTGCACAACATTTATTGGCGTACATCTTAGTACCATTTATATGATTTATTTAAGTGCTTTTTAAATGTCTGCAAACCTCATAATAACAGTTGTAGTCTGTAGTTGAATTTTCTGAAAGTTTAAAGTTAACATTACTACATAGTAGTTTAATAAAGACTTTTTTAATTTCGAGAAATTCGAAAATTCCTAGACTTAAAATCCACGATAAAGGCTTCCTGAAACTAAAAGGCCAATAACATTTTTCTTGTCACTAATAAATGGTCTTACAAATATTAATACATCATAAATTACATAATAATGTACTTAACTTTTATTCTACTTAAAAATCAGCCTAAATAAACAATGTCGTTACTCACAATCAGTAGTCGTCTGTTTAAGTTAATCCACTAGAGAAAGAATTATCTTAACGAAATTAAAACAACGATTCGATTACTCCTGTTAGATGATTGTAATTGCAAAGTATGAATGAACATTAAAAAAATACTTACATTTTTCCGAATTATCAACATTAAACATGTTGCACTTTGTAATCATCATCGGCCATCGTAGTTGTTTTTCTCCATTGGCTCCTGCTGTAAAATTATACAAATACTAATTAGGTATACAACCGTTCTGATGTTTGTTAATACATAAAAAAACTTACCTTTCTGTGTTAATTTTCTTGCTACAACTCGCATATTTTGCAAGTACCTACAACAATTTATATATTAAAAAATACATTCAAATTAAGTTTACTTACAACATGGGAAAAAAATATAAAGTTGAATCAACTAAAATCGTGACTAATATAGGTACACAATTCATAGTACATTTATAGTTGCAAAAAAAGAATAAATAATTCGGCTAAATAATGGTTTAGTTAAAGCAATTATTTATTTAGACATTTCAACTATACGTTTATTGTGTCACTATATTAACCATAATTTTAGTTGGTCAAGCCATATATTTTTTCCGCGAAATTATACACTATTATAGTCTTAATGCAAGTGATCGAATTCTAAAATTACTATTTTTTTTTATTTTTACTGCTCATAAACATAAAAAATACCTACAGGTATGTATAATTTATATTTAAAGTTTACCTAAGTACAATAATCGTTAACAAACAAAAAATACTTAGTAGGTCCTCGTAGTCACTTGACTAAGCTTACATATCAAAATAGAAATACCTCAACAAATTTAAATTAAAGCTGAAATAAGTCTATCTCGATAGGTAAATCATTAGTATTGTCAATATTAATACATATTATATATATACACTATAAAAGGAATATAGTTACAAAATACATTATTTATTAAATTCCTATATAATAAGATTAGTAAAAGCTAAGGTTCTCTCTGTAGTCACTTGACTAAGCTTACATATCAAAATAGAAATTTCTCAACAAATTTAAATTAAAGCTGAAATAAGTCTATCTCGATAGGTAAATCATTAGTATTGTCAATATTAATACATATTATATATATACACTATAAAAGGAATATAGTTACAAAATACATTATTTATTAAATTCCTATATAATAAGATTAGTTAAAGCTAAGGTTCTCTCTGTAGTCATTTGTCTAAGCTTACATATCACAACAGAAATACCTCAACGAATTTAAATTAAAGTTGGGATAAATCTGTCATGATAAGTAAATCATTAGCATTGTCAATAATAATATACATATATATTTACACTATAATAATAATATAGTTACAAAATAATATTGTTTATTAAATTTCTATACAATAAGATAAGTGAAACCTAAGGTTCTCTCTGCAGTCATTTGTCTAAGCTTACAAATCAGCAACAGAAATAACTAAAGAAGTTCAAGCTCTATTGACAGTATTTTTTTGGTAAAATATAAATCAACAAGTACAAAAAATATCACAACTATTTTTAAATGTGTGTTTGTGATAGCTTTCATCATTATTGACCAATCCAACATTTTTTCGGGCCAACTCCTTCAACACATTTAAATAATTGATACAACTTAAAAATAATTGTTTTATAACAAGTTCCTTATGTTGGGATAAAGATAAGAACACCAATATGAGTAATGCGCAAATGCAATTCCTATAGAATGCAATCAAATAGATTTATGGAGTAAATTCATTTTACAATAAAAAAACAATTCAAAAACAAAAATTCCTTCGGACGAGCAAAATTTTACGCCGGCTACTAACCCTATTTAGTCGCCTTTTACTACAAGCGAGTGGTCCCTAAATGCATACTGATCTATCAATATACATAATATCAAAGCTTACAATATATAACAATAGAAATTACAAATGAAAACTATTTTTTTTAATTTATTCAATACTTAATTTTACAATAAAACAGAACAACTTACATTGTGCCGTTCTATGTATAGCGTCGTTTTTTTCTCTGGATCGCATCGGGACAAGTCCTGTGACAGATTCTGCCTGTAAACCTCACTCTGTGGAGTCTTTTCAACCCATTACAACGCTGTCTCCATCATCGTGTACGATGATTCCAGTGAATAAACTTCCTTCCTCGTAGACTTAATTTCCAAATTGTTGTTGGATCCGAAATGGCTCATAATCCAATTTCCTAGACAACTAAAAAAGTTTTTTACAGTTTTAAGTATAAATTCGTTTAGCAATATAAAAAAAAAAATAAAAACTATATAGATACAAGTAATAAATATACAACTCAAAAAGTAAAATTAGTATCAACAGTCGTCAAAAAAATGGTCTTAAGCCAAACCCTAGTCGTGGTCGTTTGTCGTATAGCTTACCAGATAGGAATATAATATCTTAACAAATACAAATCAATGTTTAAATATAAATATAACAATTCTGTAGGATAAACCATCATTCATGTAAACTAAAAGACAACAGCCCGTACCTATTCGCCTGTAGTAACCGATCATTGAATAGCAGATATTTTGGACGATATTACATTTATAAAAGGTCACAATAAATCTTTATTAAAGGATAACTATTAACGTTATGATATTCAAATCGTCTTTTCTTTAAATACAATGTTCTTAAAATAAAACTTAATTAAAATCAGTATATTATTATAACTTAAATAACAAAGTTCGATTTTTGTGTTACTTGTTAGTTGTTAGTTACAAACAAAAAAAATGTTACAATATGTTTTAAAACCAAAGTAGAAAATGGTAGTTACAAAAAAATATTGTTATTAATAATTAATTTTAACAAACTCTTGGCACAATGAATTATACATGTAA